AGATTAACTTGATGTTTAAATAAAAGTGTGAGGATTGAGGAAAATCTGTCCTACTGTGTCCATTTCATGATTCATGTTACACAGTTTGAATGTCATGTGAATGAATTTTATCAAGTTACTTGAAATATTAATGCAGATTTTGTTTACCTTTGTAATAACACTTCTATAATTGTTTATAGTGTATTATATACAAATTTATTAAATAGAATCTATTTTTATATTCAGTTGAGCTTGCAGTGCAGTGTTTATCTAAAACAAAGCCACTGTAACTTGGGGTAATTTTTTAAGTGGTAATCAAAATTCCTTCAGAGATCCATGAGAGCTGTTTTAGGGTTTGTTTCAAGTCAGTATTTTAATTGACTTTTCCATTTTGAAGGACCCCAAGTAAGCCTCTGTTTGTGTTCCCACAATAAAAGCTTGCATTTTTTCATTAAATTACTGTAACAAGTCACATTTCAAGTATTCTTTGGTACAGCAAGGAATAGTTTATACTGGGTATATTTATAAAAGGGTATAATTTAGAATGGCCACATTTTACAGGTGTTTGTTAAGTAGCTTAGGTTATCTGGGTAGACTGAAGAGGTGCTCATGTTCCTCCTGATGCTTGGAAAGCTCCTGTTTTAAAGGCTTGCTCACATTTTAAAGAGAATAGCAAAATGTGTCTTCTTTCCTAGACTTTTTGCTTTCCTTGGGGTGGCATTTCACTTCTAGTGATCCTGGGAAGAGAAGAGGCCTTTTGCTGCTGGCTCACACAGGGAGTGATTAAATCATATTTGTTTGGTCTTTTGGAGTTGAACATCATGGTTTAAGTCTGAGAATCTTTTCAGTTTTTAGAGGGAAATAGTACAGAACCTGAAGAAAAATGTGTTTTAACTTCCTTTACAAAAATGTCCTGCATGTTTCTGTTTTGGGCCAACTGGCAAGGCAGAATGCATTACAGCTCTTGGTAGGCAGGACTGGTTTGGGACTTGAGACTCAGGCAATCTAGTAAGAGTCTTGTGAATTTCTTGGTGGCCTTTAATGTTGCCCATAAATCCAAGCCCACTTCCTCCTCAGTGAGGTGGGGTTTGTCATCATCAGTGGGAGCAAGCTGAGGCCATGAGAGTCTGCTTGTGCCTAAACAAACATGGGCAGTGGTTAAGTTCAAGGGCCAAATTCCGAGCTCTTAGCTGAGGAAATAGCTGTGGCCTTGTCTGCAAGGGAAAGTTTTTACTAGTTGTCCTCTAAGCTGTATGTGGAGGCTTTTTTTCTTTTTTTTTCAATGATAAGTGGCTTTTTCTGGTTAGCTTAAACATTTTCCCAAATTCCACAAGGTAAATATTAAGCACATTTATTCTCATGGAAGAGGTAGTTGTACAAGTGTTTAAGCCAATACATCAGATGAATTCACTCCTTGGGCTAGTTCAGAAACCTTCTCAGGTGAAGAAAGATTGGATCTGTAGAAGTAAACACCCAGCTGTCCTGTAGGACATCCCTGACCATTCAGACAGCAGCTGTGGACCAAACCCAACCAAGTAATACTTCATCTGAGATGGGTTCAAGAGCTTCCTGTAGTTGCTCCTCAAAATGCCACACTCAGTGACAATGTGCAAACGGCTTCTAAAATTCTAAAATGTAACTTTTTACAGCACATTTTATTTCTGTCACCTTGTTCAGTGTTGTTTGTGTGCATAACGCTTACTGTCAATTCCCAGAGCTTTTAAATGTGTTTAAAACCTCAGTGGTTTGAGTGCAGAATTGAAGTATTTAATGATCTAGACTTGCTAAAGCTTTTGAACAACTGATGATTTTTAGATATTTAATTGAGAAGCTGAGGCCAGACTGCTGAGGGAGCTTCCACGTTACTGACAACTCTGCAGAAAGCCAAGACTGCAGCAGATCCCAGCTACAGTGAGGAAACCACAGCCATAGCTCCACAGCCTGACCTGGGAAAAGGTTGTCTTGTGGGTGTCTACGGAGTAGAAAGATGCTATGCAGGCAGAGCAGAAGATGTGGAAGGGTAGGTGGAATCTTTGCAATCTCAGCTAGTAAAAGGGAGAATATTTAAAAGTGGACATTAGGTGCCCAGCTAGAGTTGGCTGCTGTTTCAGTACTGGGCAACTGCAGTGGCCAAATTTGCAACGCATGTAAGAATGGAGATGTAGGTAATGATTCAGTGCCTTGCTCACCTAATGATTATTGTGTGTCTCATTGCACTGACAACACAGAGCTCAAGAGCTGTCAAGGAGATTTTTAGTTTTCCTTAATGAAAATAACTGCAGAGGCCTGGAGGGAAGATCCCTACCCAAACAGCAGCAATCATTCCCTGGTGAGTAAAGTTTAAAGTACTTAGCCCAAGAATGAGCAACTCCTAGTCAAAAGTGTTCCTCAGCCCTTCTCCTTCCAACATCAGTAGGAAAGAATGAAGCAGTCACAGGCTAGCATAGGGGGTGGAAACTCCTGAAACTGGACAGCTGACACCAGTCAGAAAGGGGGATGTAGTGTTGCAACATATGTGGTTGGACTTGTATAATTGAGCCATGATTGTAGTAGTGACTAAATGTATCTCTTAAAATAAGTCTGCCATGTATTTTCACCCACTAGGGTTATATGGCTGAAAGAACTGGCCTGCTTTATTCAAGAACTGATTACCTGCTCTTAGGTCTTTTTGATTCATGATTCCTTGTTTAATATTACATTTATGCATTTACCAACAGATTGGTCCTACCGTGTATGATAGTTTTCAGTCTGGTTCAGCTGGTTGTCTGTTCTGCAGAATTACTATAGTCTTTGCAAATCACCCCATCTGATTGTGAAAGCCTTTCCAGACTGCTGTGATTCCATTTGAGTTCCCTAAGTGTAATCTGTGGATATGCAACCAAGGAGAGCTCTGACTTGCTTGCATTCCCAGGCTTTCCTTAACACCTTTGCAATTCCATATCTTGTTACCCCCTTACCTCTTGTTTTACTGTGTAGCTGGTACTTTCCCCTGAGGTTTGGAGTTTTACTTACCACTGCATAGTGTCCCTTTTCCCATAAAATGTCAAGCTGGGTGTACTTCCCAGAAGTATTGAGATACCCAGGCACATATATATATTTCAGTCATTCATCCTTAAAATTTGCTGTCAAAGCCATTCTTCTGCTGTTGGAACTCTGTTCTCATGTTTCCCTTTGTTCTGTGGGAGTTGCTAAGATTTCCCATTGAAATTTATTTTGCTCTTTTGTGCAGATTCACTGCACAGTCCTGTCTCCCACAGTGTGGATGGGTTACAATGGAGTCGATGGTAACCTGGCAGTGATACAGGAGCACATTACTTGCAGCTGTAGTGAGATTTCACCCAGCATTCTGATGCAGAGTCCTTCACACTTCCAAATTAATAATTCCTCTCTCTGTTCTTGTTGCTTGGGTAAATATTTCACTGTTGTGTGGACTTGGGCAGTGATCTATGTGAGAACCAAGGTTTTTATTTTCCTCTTGTACATGCTTACCTACTAAGGAGGCTTTTAAGCCCAGTGCCTTTTTCACACTTGATAAAATGAGTCTGTTTCCATCGTGTAGCATTGCTTCTTTATAAATCTGAATACAAGTAAAGAAATTCATGTCTATTGCCAAATGTTCTGGCTGAATGCCACCCCTGGTGTTCTGGCTTCATCCAGATGACGAATGTTCCCTGTCAGCCTGCAGCCTAGTGAGAGGGGACAATGGTACAGAAATACTGTAATTATCTAATCAACTTTGCTTAGAATGTTAAGCAAATGCAATTCTTTAATACTCTGGCTTTACTATAGCTGTTAATTACCATGTGCAAATGCAATTTGTACAGCAAAACCAAGCAGAGGAAACATTCACTTTTAAGTTCCTTTACTCCCCTCTAGTGGTCTTGTACCACACGTACGTTTATATAACACTTCATCACCATACATTTAGGGACGGTGTTCGTGTTCTGTAAAAACCAAAAGTCTGCTGGTAACTTCTCCTTCCTTCTGCTCATCTTCTTTCTATAGAGAAACCAGTTGAGTGACTGGGATTCTTGCCAGCGTAACTCTCCAAATGAAAGTGTTCTTTATAGGTTGACTTTAATTAACAGCCCAACTGCACCCAAAGCTTTAAAACCAGCACCTGCAGAAAACTCTCAGAGCTATGTACGAAACGTTTATTTTCTGTGTCCTCAAAGGTGTTCACAAGGGATGTTGGTGTCAATGTCAAGGTGACTCAAACTGCAGCCAAGGCTGTAGAAACACCAGCAGAACCCAGTCACATCCATAGTGCTGCTGTGTGTTTGTTCTGTGGCACGTGCCAGTTTTGGTGCACGTCTGTGGAAGTTGTGGGACATATGGAGATTGTCAAATGACTGGGTTCCTCCTTTAAACTTGCCAGTTGGCCATTTTGTGTACTGTGTAGCTTTCACTAGGTGGAAAACAGGCAAAACCCGAAAGGATCAGAATGGAAACTTTTACTTTTCCAGTATTTCCTTGGTTCTTTGCTGAAGTTACTGATGTTGTAATCAGCAGTATACAGGTGTGCAGCACAGGCTTCATTTAGCAATAGTTAATGGGTAAGTTCTTGGCTAAATTTTTCTTTGCTTGCTGGAGTTTGTATTTTAAAGGTTTTGAAATGACTTGCTAATACCATGTCCTTAGAGAACTCATAAGATGCTAAGTCATAAGATACTTCTCTTCTTTTTCTGCTCAGACAGTGTATTAAGAAAAATGTAACTAGAGGACTCACTGCTCAGAAATTAGCTGCTCTTTTCAAACTAGCCACTTGTAACTTTTCCATTTCCTTCTCGCATGCCTGGGACTAATATTTCAAAGAAAAGAGAGGGGAATAAAAGGAATATAGGGTCCATAAAGAAAATGTTGACAATTTTCCATTTGAAAATGCAGTTCTCCTAAAATACTTCCCAAAACTGTGTTTGTAGTCATATTCAGTTATGGAAGAAAAGTGGAAACATTCCAAGAATCA